ACCGTCTACAGATTCTGGTGACGTTCCAAGTATTCTAGCTTGTTGTCTGTGAAGATTCATAGCAATATTGTTCGGCAATTTTCCACCCATAGATAAAATGATTCCTTCTGGCGATTCGTTGTCGTAAATGTCCATTACTACTTCGAATGTAATTTCTTCGAAGTAAAGACGATCGCTCATGTCGTAATCCGTGCTCACCGTTTCAGGATTATAATTAACCATTACGGTTTTACGATTCAAATTTCGAAATTCACGTAGACAACTTACAGCACACAAATCAAATTCTACAAAACTGCCGATTCTGTATACTCCAGAACCTATAACCATTGTATAACCATTGAATATATTTCATATATATAATATAAATGTGGTGGGAGAACGCGAGCTAGAAGAAAGAAGGAGCCCTTACAAACATCTTGGCGCTACCATGGTTACCACCAAAAACAAAGATACTGCTTTGTCAAAAAATAAAAAAAAAAAAAAAATGTAAAAAGAATTTGTATAGCTTAAGGTTAGAAAAACTTAAAAAAAAAAATAATTCTCCCACAAAGAATCGAACGGTAACTACTCGCGTGAGAAGCAGAGACGATACTACTTACGCTAGCGTTTCATTTGACAAATATTCATTTTTTTCCTTACAATTTTCATTATATTGAAGATGAATAAAAATGCATTTCTATTTTCTTATAACGTAACAAAAATGAATTAAAATAATGTCTGGACAAAAAATAAATTCCACGTTTTTAGAATCACTTTTCCTGCATATCTTGAATTTATTTTATGTGTAGATATAAAATTTTTCTTTTTCAAATATGTCCCCAATTTGATAAACAAATAAATATTTGGGAGACTGCAAATCTTTAGTTTCAAATTTCCTAAAATACATAATTTGTTGACTAAATAATAATTGTTTCTGTTAAAATGAATTATTGTTTTTTTATTTTTATCAAGGTTCAGTATTTTTGACAATAAATAAAAAAACGGCTTGCCTTAAGCATCAATATTCGATTTAAAAATGCCGCGCTTATACGCCGATGTATATATATAGATATACAGAACGCTCGACACTCGATCGTCAAAACGAAAAATTCGCGCTTCCGAAGAAAAATTGGAAAGAGAGAAATATCTGTTTCTTGTCTCACTCGCACTCGTATACATAACGCTCGACACTCGATGGCCAAGAGAAAATATCAGAAATATATAATACAGAACACTTGACAATCGATGGGCCAAACAAAAAGAATCGCTATCGCTTAAAGAAATCTTATTTATTTGTTTTCTCACTCGCACTCCCATTCACGCCCGAGAGACTTCAAGATTACGCACACTAGCTCGCTCGCGTATAAAGACCAGCGAAGAGGCGTGGCTTGCCCTCTCTTTTACAATTACCTTTCACCTTCATTTTCTCGCTTATTTTTGCAAATACGAAGATACACTTTCGAACATTTTTTACGTATTTTTCAATTCTCTACAACATTTGTTTAAAACTTTTTTCGATTTAATGCCTAGATTCTAAGATACGGCCGATTTTTCACCTTTTTTACCCTTTTTCTCATTACCAGAAAATCTAATTGCAAAAAAAATAGCACCATTCGATTCAGCGTCGTYGAATTACCATTATATCAAATTTCGCCCGGCTAGCTAAATTTTTTAAGTTCTCCTCTTGTTGCCTGGACTATAAAATAAGATCTATCGCAGCGAATGAATTCATTAATTAATGAAAAGACGATCAAATAGCAAGCCCGTGTAATATGACCAAACAACTATGCTGATTTTATTTTAACAAAATACCAGAATACATTTTTAATTATTTTTAACTGTACTTGTAATTTTTATATTTCGAATTAATACCGACGAAACCGAATTAAATTTCTGTTTTGTGTGTTTGTACGACGAATATTATTATGAAAA